CTGTCTATGAGAGAAGGAAACAAGTGTGGCGTGAAGCTCGATCCGCCTATGGCCCCGCCCACCGCGCCGCTCATGGAGACTGGGGGCCGTATGAGTGGTGGAGAGAGGTGTGACGTAGACGTGACGTCACCGAGAGGGGTGGGGCCAGGGGATGTTGCCGCCCCCTCGAGTCGGCGCCTGCGCAGAAGGGGCAAAAACGAGACCGTTACAAAGTGCAAAGGCAAAATAAAACGTGTTTCTCTCGTTCTTTGAGATTTACGACTGTGATAATTACAGTGACATTCTATTTAAGGTCCGGAGTTAATAACATTCATTTTGCGTAATTTTGGCACTCCAAGGGATGGGCTTTTTAAACATAATATTGCAATTTTTCGACTAATAATCAGTATTTGATCTGAGCGGTAAATATCTTCAACCGAAATGGATTTTTCAGGCTGACCGGGAACCTTGAAAAAGATAATGGTAACATTGTTAATTATTGATATTAATTTAAGAATGATAATAAATGCAATGTATTTATCATACACTATCAACAATGTTGCCATTATTAGGATTATCAATATCCATATTAACTTTATTCATAATAATTTGTCCTTATATTTTTTTGCACTTATTCCTGACATTGATAATCGTTTTCATTATCACTAAAAATGTTACAATCAATAATAACTTCATTATAACATAATTTCCAATACTATTAGTATTATATATATATATATATATATATATATATATATATATATATATATATATATATATATATATATATATATAGTATATAATTAGTATCTGCGATTATCATAATAATTTCCTGGACTTTCATTGCTGTAATTGTGAATCATCATTGCAATTGAAATTATATTGTTATTGTATTGTTTTTATTCTTGCTACTTGTCTTGTTATACAAAGTTTTCATAATTATCTTTTATCATTATCATTATCATCATTACTCTTTTCATTAGTATGATCATTATTATTATTATCATCACTACCAATGTTATTATTATTATTATTATTATTATTATTATTATTATTATTATTATCATCATTAGTGCTATAATAATTATCATTATCATAATTATTATCATTATTATTGTTACTAATATTACCATTATCATTGTTTTTGTTACTGATGCCATTATTGTTATTATTACCATTACTTTTATGATCATTATTCATAATTTATTCATTATTAAAATTCATACTTTATGATCATTATTTTCATGTGTCATTAGCACTGGTATCAATCATCGTCAACAATCATAATTGTCACCATCATTATTAACAATACCATCACCATCTCCCATAGCTGTGCAATCATTACTACAATTAATACTATCATCAATAATAGTTGCACCTCTATTATAATTGCTGCATCCTGTCCTAATAATAATCACCGCTAATTTCTGCAATATGACACTAATCACCATGATATCAACGGGAAATGATAACCTGAAAATATAATAATAATATTGGTGACTGTTGTTACCATCCTATCAAATTGATGACAGCTGTTACTATCGAATTAATATTCGCGATCAGTGTCATTAAGATAATAATGATAATAGTATTGTAAATTGTAATTATAATTATTTTCATAATTTTCTTGTTGTGGTAGTTGGTATAGTCTATCGTGTAATTATTATCAATATCATCATGATTATAGTTATTATCTATAGTATTATCATTATGAGTATTATAACTGTCATTATCTTTATTATGACTGTCATATGTCGTTTCTCGTGATTATCACATTTTCTCTAAAAGAAAATTATTACTTAATTTTATTATTATCATTTTTTTTTTTTTTTTTTGAAGCTTAGTGACATTATTTTTGACATTGCAGATTATATTATTGTCTTTATCATTGTTATTGCTGATATTAATCTTAGTTATGATTTAGCAGCTTCTTTATTTTCCTTAATAACTAAAAAAAATCCTTGATTACACTGCCTGATTCTGTAAATTATATTCTATCATAATAAAAAAAAAATCAAGAACTTACTCTTCTGTCTTGGGCGACGATAAGGGTTTGGGCGGAGGTGTGGGCGGTTCTTCGCGCTCCTCCCCCTCCTCCTCCAGACGGCCCGCCCCCATTGCTCCGAGGTCCCGCCCCCCGCCCTCCTCCGCCAACCCCGCCCGCTCCTCCTCCTCGTAGGCGGAGCGAGCGTGGTCGTAGCTCAAGGGCGAGGCCACGGATTGGCTGTCGACGTCCTGTTCCAGATTGGGGGCGTGGGGAGGGGGCGTGACCGAGGACGAGGACGAGAGGGCGTGGTGCAGGACGTGGTGGTGGCGGTGGATGTGGGCGTGGGGCTCCGAGGGCGAGGGGTGGGCGGGGAAATCGTCGCCGCTGGAGGAGGATGCGGCGGCGGCGGCGGCGGCGGAGGTAGTGGGGGCGTGTCCGTGGGTGGGCGTGTGCGGGCGCGACGAAGACGGGGAGCCGGGCGAGGGCGGCGAGGCGACCTCCAGGCTGCTCGTGGCTCCGTCGGCCTCGTCTGCGGCCTCGCTCTGGGGGAGGACGGCGGGATGTAGGCCTAGGCTGAGGACTTTTTTTTCTTTCTTTTTCTCTTTAATGTTTTGGGTCAAATGGGAAAGCATCGCGTGTGAGCCTCCGTTAGTAATAATTAAATGTTAATCTCCTTCTCTCTCTGTATCTCTCACCATCCTTCTCTCCCTTGCTTCCTCTCTCTCTCTCTCTCTCTCTCTCCTTTCTTCTCCCACTGTTTCTATCCCTCTTCCTAACTGTTCCCCCCTCTCCTATTCCTCTTTATCTCCTCTTCTGATTTCCTTCTCTCTGTTTTTTAATTCCTTCCTTTCTCTCCCTCCTCATGTTTCTCTCCCGTCTCTTCCATTCTCTCTCTCTCTCTCTTTGTTTCCCTCCTCTCTCTCTCTCTCTTTCCCTCCCCCCCCTCTCTCTCTTTCTTTCCCTCCTCTCTCTCTCTTTCTTTCCTTCCTCTCCTTCTCTCTCTCTCTTTCCTTCCCTCTTCTCCTTCTCTCTCTTTCTTTCCCTCCGCTCTCTCTCTTCCCATTTATTCCCCTCTCCTTCGCACTTACCTGTGTCTGGGTGTTGGCATTCGGATCTCCTTCCACCACTTCTCTCTTCCTCTGTTCTTCTTTCAGTCTCTCGCTCTTCCTCCATTTGGCTCGACGGTTTTGGAACCAGACCTTAAAAAGGGAAAAGAAGAGAATGATTTACTCTTATCAACCTTTTTTGCATTTTTTCTTGTGTTCGTGATATATATTTTTTTTCTGATAATATATTTCATTCGTGATGATTATATATATATATATATATATATATATATATATATATAAGTATATTTAACCGCAGTGGTAAAGTATTTGATGATGGAGATCACAGTTAAAGCCAATAATGTCTTATCATCTCATCTTTATTGTTAATTAATAATTTTGATATGATTATTTGGCCATCCAATCTTGAAATAGTTATTGCCATCACCATGTTTCACTTCCCTTAATTCCATATTTCTTTTTTATATGCAAATTACGCAGACGGACATACACGAAGATCTATCACACGGTTGTCATGGTAAACAGATCACAGTAATATTTTTAATTTGATGTGACATGACTTTTATATATTTCATCAGTTAATTCCCAGTTATACTCAAGTCACGAACTGGTCTGTTCAAAGAATATCAAACACTTATTATAAATTCTTTATTGATGTGCTTGGTTTCAAATATATTTTTAATCATTTCTTCTTTAGCCGTTTTTTTATTTATTTTTATTTTTTTTTTTTTTTTTTTTTTTTTTTTTTTTTTTTTTTTTTTTTTTTTTGCCAATCTTTATTTTCAAATTTTAACTCATAACTCATATCTGTTAACTTCATCTGCTCGTACATTACTAATTAATTCACCTGAAAAAAAAAAAACGCAGAAGGGGCGAACAGTAACTCATTATAAAAAAAAGTTAACACAGTTTCCCCTTTTCAGGAATCATAAATTCAGATAATTGATCTTAACCTCCAAAAATTCTCTCAAGTCTCGCATTTCCCGGAAAAAAAAAACATTAAAGAAAAAAAATATAAAATAGGATTAATCATTTAAAAAAAAGAAGAGAAAAACACTTCCACTTATAATTAATGTTCCAAAGAAACTTTTCGAAAATTCTAACGCAATTCTCGTCCTTTCCCCCCTCCCCACCCCCTCCCTTCCCCTCCCTCCCACTCTTCCCTCCCCCTCCCTCCTCCCTCCCCACCCTCCCTCCAACACCCCACCCTTCCCTTCCCCTCCCTCCAACACCCCACCCACACCCTTCCCCTCCCTCCTTCCCTCCCCTCCCTCTCCTACACCCCTACCTCCCCTCACCTTCCAATCTCCACCCCCTCTCCCAACCCCCCTCCAAAAAAAAAAAAAAAAAAAAGAAAAAAAAAAAAAAAAAAGAAAAAAAAAACTCAAACACTAAATTGCTCCACCGACTTTTCATGTCCATAATTAGTCCCGAACTCGATATGTCAATTAGGAGAAATAAGAAAACCAATTATTGTAATGCATCCGTAATCCATTTTATCTTTCCTCGGCAGCGGAATAAAGTTGACAGAGAGAGAGAGAGAGAGAAGAGAGAAAGAAGAGGGAAAGAGAGGGAGAGAAAGAGATTTTATCTTTCCTCAGCAGAGAGAGAGAGAAAGAGGAGGAGAGAGAGAGGGGGTGGGGTGGGGAGGCGGGAGAAGAGGAGGAAGGGAGAGGGAATAGAGGAAGTGGAGAAATAGAGGGAGAGGAGGAAAAGTCGTGTATATGTGACGGATAGAAAGGGAGAAGGGAGGAGAGGGAGAGAGAGAGATAATTAGATAGTTGGACAGAGACAGAGATAGATAGATAGAGAGAGTGAAAGCGAAGGAGAGAAAGAGAGTGAAAACGAAGGAGAGAAAGAGAAAGAATGAGAGAAAGAGAAAGTAGACAATGAAGATAATTAGACATAAACAAATAGACAGACTGGCTTTCCAGACAGAGACGGAGAGAGAGAGAGAGAAAGAGAAAGGGATAGACGGACAAAGAGAGAGAGAGAGATGGAGAGCGAGTAAATTAATTGAAGTTTAGTTTTCGCTGCCGTCACTAGATGTCACTTGAGACTTCGACTCATGAGGGGAAAAAGGTGTATATATTTTTCCCGCGCTTTCTATTAACCGTCGCTCTTGCGCAGGATGGCGGCGGGAGTGGCGGGAATCCACGATTTTTTTTTAATATTTTTTTTTTACCGTAGTCCCTTTTCACTCCATTTCTTAAAATTAGTTTGCCTTATCTTTGTTTGTCTTTCTCTCTCTCTCTCTTTTTTTTTTTTTTTTTTTTTTACTTCGTCCCTATTTCTCTCCTTTTCTTATGATTATTTTGCTTTCTCTTTGTTTGCTTTTCGTATTTTCTTTCTCTCTTAAATATCTTTCTCTCTCACGGGTTGCTCTTTCTCCTTCGTTTACTGCCGTTGCTTCTCTCGTTCTCTTAAGCCAATCCTTTCTCCTCTTCTCTTTTTCTCTCTCCCTTCCCTTCCCACTCCCTCTTCCTTCGCAAACTTCTAACTCTCTTCCCCATCCACCTCCACCTCCATCTCCACTTCCACCACCACTATTACCTCCCTCCTCCATCTCTCTACCTCCCCTCTCCTCCCTTTCCCTTCCCCATTCCTCCTCCACTACCTCTTCCCCCTTTCCCCATTCCTCTACCTACCTCCTCCACCTCCTCCTCCTCCCCCTTTTTACTCCTCCCTCCCTCCCTCCATCCACCTCCTCCCTCCCCTCCCTCCTCCTTTCCCCCTTCTCCTCCACCCCCTTCCTCCCTCCCTCCTCCCCCTCCCCCCTCCCTCCATCCACCACCTCCCCTTCCCTTCCCCCTCCCCCTCCCTCCCTCCTCCATCCACCACCTCCCCCTCCTTTCCCCCTTCCCCCCTCCCCTCCCTCCACCACCTCCCCTCCCCTCCCTCCTCCTCCCCCCTCCCCCCCTCCCCCCTCCCCCCTCCACCTCCTTCCCCAAGACCCAGGGCGCGGACGCCATCAGCGCGCGGGTCGAGCAGTTCAGCCAAGTCGAATCCCGCCCGAAGGAGGAGGGGGTGGGGTGGGGAGAGGGGAGGGGAAGGAGGGGGGAGGAGGGGTGGGGTGGGGTGGGGTGGGGGGGAGGGGGGGAGAGGGAGAGGAAGGGGGTTTCGCGCGAGGGGAAAATGTAATCTGATCAGACAGCGAGGGGATTGAAGACCGCTGTTTACGACGGGGTTATGTGCGAGGGGGAGGGTTTATATTTGTTTTAAGAACTGGATTTTCCGAGAGGATTTATGGGCGGTGTGGGTATGGGGGTGGGTGGATGGGGGGGGTGCGAGGTGTGGGTATGGCGGGGTGGTGGGCTGGGTGGGGGAAGTGTGGTTAGGGGCCGGGGAGGGGAGGGAGGGTAGCGGAGGGGAGAGGTGGGTAGGGTGGGGGCAGGGGGAGGGGGGTGTGGGTATGGCGGGGTGTGGCTGGGATGGGGGGGTGGGGGGCGGAGGTAGGGAGAGGGAGGGGGCGGGGGGGTGGGGGGGGGGGGGGGGAGGTAAGGGGAGAGGGGAGGGGGGAGGAGGGGAGAGGAAAGGAAGGGGGGGAAGGGGCATGTTAAAGGGATGGCAGGTAAGGGGGAGAGGGCAGGGGGAATGGGGGGGGGGCGAAAGACAGGGGGGAAAGGGGGAGCCAAAGGGTAAAAGAAGGAAGCAGGGAGGGGGAGAGGCAGGGGATGTGAAGGGAGCAGGGGGAGGGGGGAGGGGAGAGGCAGGGGGATGTGAAGGGAGCAGGGGGAGGTGAGTGGAAGGGAGGGGGCCGGCAGGGGAGGGAGAGCAGAGGAGGGAAAGAGGCATGGGGGAGAGTAGGAGGGAAGCTAGAAGAGAGAAAGAGAAGGAGAAGTTAAGTTAGAATTTGGAGATTTTGAAGGAATGTGACTATTTTGATAAAACTGGCAGACGGAGGGGGGGAGATTATCTCTCTCTCTCTCTCTCTCCTTCTCTCTCTCTCCTCTCTCCTCTCTCCCCCTCCCCTTCCCTCTCTCTCCATCTCCCCCCTCCCTCTCTCTCTCTCTCTCTCTCTCTCTCTCTCTCTATCTCTATCTCCTTCCCTCCTCCCACCCCAAACTCTTCCCTCCATCCTCTCCTCTCTCTTTTTCTCCCCCTCCCTCCCTCCCCCCCCTTCTCTCTCTGAGTGTGTTTAACTGTGCATAATATGAGTCCATGTTCGTAATAGGTTTAACATCCAAGAGAAAGCTCCACGAAACAAAATGAAATAACGAATGCAATCCCATTATGGTACACCGATAAAATTATGTAAAAATAGCTTACGCATCTCTCGCTTATACCCTCTTTCCTCTTCTTCCTCCTCCTCCTTCCTCTCTTCTTCTATTCGCCTAATTTTCATTTTTTTTTTCGTCTCTTTCAGGACATGCCTCCTCCCTTTCTCTTTTACCCCTTTCGCTATCTTCGCTATCCTCTTTCCCCTCACGTCCTCTCTCTCGTACTTTCACCCTCTCCTCTTTCTCCTCTCCCCTTTCATTGTCTTTCCTTTCCTTTCCCTGATCTTTCCCCTTTTCACCCCTATTCCCGCTCCTCTACCTCGTCGCATCTCTCTCTCTCTCTCTTTCACCCTTTCCTCTTCCCCTCTCGCCTTTTCCTCTCCCCTCACCCCTTCCGTTCCTCACTCTTTCATCCTCTCCTCCCTCCCTCCCGTCCACCTCACACTTTCCTTTCCCTTCCACCCCCCCCTGTGTCCCATCCTCTCCCCTCATTTCCCTTTCCCCCTCCCTTCCCTTCCACCCCATCCTTTCACCTCTTTCCTCTCGTCCTCTCCTCTCCCCTCCCCCCTGTCCCTCACTCTTTCACCCCTCCCTTCCCCTTTCCACCCATCCTTTCACCTCCTCCCCCTTCCCCTGTCCTCCCCTTTCCCCCCCTCCCTCCCACCCCTGGGACTTGGGGGTCGGACCTGAAACCACAAGAAAAAGAGAACTTTGAGCTATTTCCCTCCCTCCCCCCTTCCCTCCCCCCTCCCTCCCCTTCATATATATAACCCCCCCTCCCCTTCCCCCATTAATAGGAGCCCGGTAACAAAAGCCATTAATTTTTGTATTAGTTGGACCCCGCTCCCGGTTCCCTTTCTCTCCTCGGGGACTTTTCTAATCCCATTTTCCACTTCTTCTCTTTCTTCATTTCCGAATTCAAATCCTGGGAATCAATATAATAACTGGGGTTTGTGTGTGCTGAGGTGGGGGGGGGGGAGGGGGGAGGGAGGAGGAGGGGAGGGAGGGAGGGGGAGAAGGGGTGAGTGTGTGTGTGTGTGTGTGTGTGTGTGTGTGTGTGTGTGTGTGTGTGTGTGTGTGTGTGTGTGTGTGTGTGTGGTGTGTGTGTGTGTGTGTGTGTGTGTGGTGTGTGTGTGTGTGTGTGTGTGTGTGTGTGTGTGTGTGTGTGTGTGTGTGTGTGTGTGTGTGTGTGTGTGTGTGTGTGTGTGTGTGTGTGTGTGCGCGTGTTGTGTGTGTGTGCGTACCCGTGTCTGTGTGGTATGTACACGCGTGGGTATAAGTATGTGTATCCGTCTGTAGGCACCCACACGTGCCCGTATGTACGTATGTGCGTGTGTAGACCGAGTTTGCCGACGCCTGTACGTGTGTGTAAAACGTACCCTGTAAGCACGGACGCAAAAGGGTAAATGTACATTCTTCCCGAAATTAAGGGGAAAAAAGTTGATTTCGTTTATTAGTTCAAAGGGAGTGTGATTTCCTTTCCCCCCGAAGAAAGCGAGGAAGGAGAGGAGGAATAAAAAAAGAAGACCACAAAGAATAGAGAAGAAAGCGAGGAAGAAGAGGAGGAATGAAAAAGAAGACCACAAAGAATAGAGAAGAAAACGAGGAAGGAGAGGAGGAATAAAAAAGGAAGACCACAAAGAATAGAGAAGAAACGAGGAAGGAGAGGAGGAATGAAAAAGAAGACCACAAAGAATAGAGAATAAAACGAGGAAGGAGAGGAGGAATAAAAAAAGAAGACCACAAAGAATAGAGAAGAAAACGAGGAAGGAGAGGAGGAATAAAAAAGAAGACACAAAGAATAGAGAATAAACGAGGAAGGAGAGGAGGAATGAAAATAGAAGACCACAAAGAATAGAGACAAAACGAGGAAGGAGAGGAGCAATAAAAAAAGACCACACAAAAATAGGGAATAAAAAACAGGCACAAAAGATAAAATGCGGATATAAAGAATGAAGAAAGATATAATGAATAAAGAAAGGAAGAGGAAGAAAAGGAAAAGAAAAAAGAAAATCACATAATGGAAGCCTTCCAGAAGAAGAAATCTTGCTAGAATGAGACGAATAAGAAATGGGAAAATGAGGAGAAAAATAGAAAACGAAGAAGAAGAAGAAGAGGAACAAGGATAATAAGAACTCCCACCGCCTTGCCACGCTTGAGGAGCTGCCAAAGGAAAAGGGGAAGGAGAGAGGGACGAGGGAGAGAGGGGGAGGGAGGGAGAGGATGGAGAAGGAAGAAGGAGGGAGGGAGGGAGGGAGAGGATAAGGAAGAAAGGGGGGAAGAGAGGGAAGGGAGGGAGGGGGGAAGGATGAAGAAGAAGGGGGAGGGGAGAGAGAGGAGGGAGGGACGAGAGAGAGAGAGGGGGAGAGAGGGAAGGGAGGAGAGAGGATGAAGGGAGGGGGGAGGGATGGAGGGAGGGGAGAAGGAAGGGGGGAGGGAGGGAGAGGATGAGGAAGAAGGGAGGGAGGGGGAGAGGAGAGGGAGGGAGGGAGAGGATGGAGAAGAAGGAAGAGGGAAGGAGGGAGGAGAGGATGAGGAAGAGGGGAGCGGGAGGGGAGAGGGAGGGGAGGGAGGGAGAGGAGGGAGAAGGGAGGAGGGGGAGAGGGGGAGAGAGGATGAGGAAGGGAAGAGAGAGGAGGGGGGAGAAAGGGAGGAAGGGAGGGAGGGAGGGAGGGAGGATGGAGAAGGAAGAAGGGGAAGGAGATGGGAGGGGAGAGGAGAGAGGCGAGAGAAAAGGTGATAGAGAGGGTAGGGAAAGTTTGAGGGAGGGGAGGGGAGGAGGAGAGGAGAGGGAGAGAGGAAGGTGGGGGGGAGGGGAGAGAAGGGAGGAGGAGGAGGGAGAGGATGGAGAGAGGTGAGTAGGAAGGATGAGAGGAGAGGGAGGAGAAGAGGGGGAAAAGAAGGAGGGGAGGGGGAAAGGAAGGAGGGAGGAAAGGAGGAGGAAGAAGGAAGAAAGGAGAAGGAGTAGAGAAGAAGAGGAGAAGGAGAGGGAAAAGAAGATGAAAAGAGGAGGGGCAAGAAAGATGAAACGAAGCGTAAAAAAAAAAAAAAGAGACTGAAGAAACGAGGCGGAAAAGGAGAGAGAGAGGAAGAGAAGGCAGGATGAAGGGGGGAGGAGGGAGGGGGGCAGGGGAGGGTTCCTAAGCAGGAGTCCGTCCTCCAAAAGCCAATTTTTCCCCCATTTGCATAAAGAAGGTAATATATCTAATTGCGAATTTCATTTCGAGCAGCTAATTCAGGTATTGCCTCAACGAAATGAAGTGAAAATAAGTCTGTGGAAGACTTTTTTATTCTCTCTCTCTCTCTTTTATTTTATTTTATTTTTTTTTCTTCTTCGTCTTCGTCTTTTTGGTTCGCTCTCTCTCCCCTTTTTATTTTATTATTATTTTTTTTTTTTCGTCTTCGTCTTTTTAGTTCGCTTTCTTCCCTTAGGTGGTAGGAGGGGGGGGGGAGTAAGGGGTGGGGGGGAGAAGGGGTTGGTGAAGGTGGAGGAGGGGAGGAGGGGGGGTGGGGGGAGAGAGGGGGGATTGTAAAGGTGGAGGGTGGGGGGAGAGGAGGGGGGGCTTGGCGGGGAATGGGGGACGTTGGAGGGGGGGGAGAGAAGGAGGGGGGGGGGTATTGGTTGTAATGAGATCGCCTTTCTTCAGAGACGCCCGGATCCGCGTTCTGGAAAATTCTTTTTGGGCTGTGTGTGTGTGTTCGTGTCCGTGTGTGTGTGTGTGTGTGTGTGTTTCTGTGTATATGTGTGTATTCATGTACGTGTTTTGTGTGTGTTTCTGTGTATTCATGTACGTGTGTGTGTGTTGTGTGTTCATGTCTGTGTGTGTTGTGTGTGTGTGTGTGTGTGTGTGTGTGTGTGTGTGTGTGTGTGTGTGTGTGTGTGTGTGTGTGGTGTGTGTGTGTGTGTGTGTGTGTGTGTGTCTTCTTCGGTGCGAAACGGATTAGTGAAAGGTAAAGACGCGGTGGTGTTCTAATTAATTTGATAATTCATTATGCAAAATTATTCCTTAGTTCCCTCTCTTTCTCTTTATTTTTCTACACTTGTCTGTGTGTTATTATCATAATGATCCTTATTATTTTGATTATTACTAACCTTATTATCATTGTCATTGTTATTACTATTGCTGTTATTATCATTATTATCATTATCTCTTTTATTATTATATTATTATCATTATTATTATTACCATCATAATAATTATCATTATCCTTATCACCACTGTCATTATCATCATAATCAACATTACTATTACTAACATCAGTAGCAGTATTAGTACTAGTATTAGTACTATCATTATTATTATTATTACTATCATAATTATCAGTCATTATCATAATTGTTAATACCATTCTCATTATCATTAACATTATTACTATTATTAACATTATCATTATTATCATCACTATCATGATCATGATCATTATCGTTATCATGAACATCAATATGATCACTATTATTAACATAATTATTATCATTATCATTATTATTTTATCATCATTACTATTACTATCATCAATATTTTTATCACTATCATCTTTACTATTATCATCATCATTTATATTTTTAATATCATTATAATAACTATTGTCATTATCATCATGAACTAACATCACCATCACACTCATTCTCCCACCATTTAAAATCCTCATAGCATCCATAATCCCAATCAGAATCTTTATCATCTTTATTTCCATCATTATCGTTCTCTCACCTGCACCCTCGCCTCCGTCAGGTTGATCTTCATGGCGAGTTCCTCTCTCGTGAAAACGTCTGGGTAGTGTGTCTGTGCGAAGGCATTTTCCAGTTCCTCCAGCTGTCGATCGCAGCAGAGGCCAGGCAGGAAACAGTAGCAACAGCAACAGCAGCGGCCAACGAAGAGGGAAGGGAGAAAGGAGGAAGAACTGGTTAGTGATGTTAACGAAAAGGGAGAAAAAATAAACTGGTTAATTGATGACATGGCAACTCTTACGAATTCCTTTTTAACGAGAATTGGCTTCCTTTTCTATCTTAATCGGACACTTTATTGGAATGTCATTCAAATGAGTTAATATGACGCTATTAGGAGGAATCCGACGTAAATCTAATTTTCAATTTTATGGTCTAAAAACATCAGCTAGTAAAAGATATAGATAATTATTCTGAATTAGATCATCTTATCCCGCTGAAATAGATATAAATGACGCGTTGGCAACTTCTTTTGTGTACAATTTCAGCGCGTTCATAAATAACATATTTACTAAAACATC